ATCACCCACTCAGGTGAATTCTCAAACTATCCCAACATACCCAGGTTTTGACCTCCGCTAAGGATCTCATTGATTGACACATCAAAGATAGCCCAATCCGTCACCTAGTGCAGTACCATAATCGAGTCTAGGGGTCAGGTGTAATATTCCAATTTTGCCCATCTGTTTCTAAGGTCCAGGGCAATACTGGAATTTGGTCCAATTCAGGGTTTCAAAAAAAACCCACACCGCATGTGTCTCAGGTCTCACCCTGGCAGTTGAGACAAGCCACCCCAAACCAGTTTGCAACACATTAGTGTTAGCCTTGACAGGATAAACCTCCCTAGGTATATCTAACGACTGTGAAGATTCTAAACTAACACAAGTCTCATTTGTTTCCAGTTTAAGGATATTACATAGAAACACACCATAATAACATGAATCAATTATGTACTTTATTCATTTACAATAAATGTCGAAAGTACATCAATTTGATTGGAGCTAAGGGCATACACTGTCTAACACATCTAGTTGGGCCTACATGTTGGTTGATGTGCACATGAATGTTTTCATAGCTGCCCATTCTTCTTTCATCGCATCATGTTGGGCCTGAACGGCCTAGGGTGTGAACATGATTCTCTTTCACCTTCCCCATTCATCTTTCATTTCCTCAAGTTGTGTTTGAAATTTGTTAAGCATGTCTTGGATATTTGTTTGGGAGGAAATTGCTTATTGTTGATGCGAGGTTCTTAGGACCTCATTGAGGGTTTCAGTCATCACATTGCGAACTTCATCTAGGGCACCATTCAAGCGCCCCTCCAACTCCAGCATTGCAGACTCGATTACTTCCATAATGAGGTGAAACTCTTCCACATGATCACATGCCTCACCCACTATTACATCACAACATAGCCTATGGGTGTCAATGTTGGCAAGCCTATCAGTGGATTTCTCACTCTTGTTGGATTTTGATGTTCGGCCCTTTTGGGCCTTGTCCTTGTTAGGGTCATTTTCAGGTGCATCATTGGCCTCATGGGTGTGGACAAGTTCTTGTCATATCTCTTCCTTGAGGTCCTGAGTGTTTTTCATGGTGTTGCTATCGTCAAGGGTCATGTGCTTGGTCTGTGGCATGTAAGTGAGCTCTTGCTTTGGTACCAATTGTCATAGGGTTCATCGCCGAGGCCCGTACGATGCTTGATTATGTCGAGAAAGCCTACGAAATAAAGTAACAAGCAATAAAGGCAACAATGATGGCACACGAATTAGTTAAAAGGCACTTTGTATTGCAATAAAGATGGTAAGAAAAAGCACATAGGTTCGTGTTGATGGGACCTCGTGCTTAACCTTTACATGTTCTTAGTTCAATCAATTACCTACCTCCCCTCAAAGAGAAGCTTTTGGCAATGTTTTGTGAGTGTTTCTCTTGTTCCCAGCACTTTTGCAGAAAATAAACATGTTTGGCAAAAAAAAAAAAAGCAAGAAATAAGCCATTCCTGAGTGAGAACAACACCCAAAAACTGTGTTCTTCGGGAGTGACGAATTGACATTCTCAAAGAACACATTCCCAAGGAACACGTGGTTCCTACAACGTCCCTCATTATTTATGAACACGCGTGCGGTGTTCCCATGTGAGAGAAGGGGCAACATTGTAATTTCATACATAATTATAAACTCCCACTCTCTAAGCCTTAGCTCCAATTTTTCATTCGTTTCAACCTTCCACTGCTACAAACCCAGGGAGCTAGAAGTTGAGGCGGTGCCAAGGACTGGACAATGACCAAAAACTCATCTCTGACACATCATCTTTTCCGGCAAGAATCACGTACACAGGTAAGCTTGTCTTCCTTGCCACCATTCTTCACATTGGATCATTGGATTCTCTATTCTTTCATCTTAAAATTATAATTTTTTTTTTAACAATAACTATTGCAACGATCATCTCCTCTTGGAAGGCTATCCCTAACGATCACTATTTACATGATTTTTTAAACACAACGATCATCTCCTCTTGGAAGACTATCCCCAACGATCAATTTTAAACATCATTATGATGTGACACTTGTTTAATTTTAGACTTAATGGGAATGGATTTGTAGAATTGATGTTAAGAAATAGTTTTGTTATCCAAACGTTATTTTTGCTTTTGTAGAACAAAAATCTATTCTCGAAGAACAATTTGCTAAATGCCTCTGTTGTTCATGAGGAGCAAGAAATAAAATTCTTGTTATAGCACATGAATTTCCAAAAGAACAGAAATAAGTGGGAATATTGTCAAACAAGGCCTAAGCTAGCTTTTGGGGGAGTGATAGAAGGAAACATAATAGGTGTTGAAAAATCATAATGATAATTACAATAATGTTATTGGCATTTCCACCATACAAAATATATGTATAGCCGCACCCATGACACACATGACAATAGTAGTATGTTGTGGGCACGATGGATGGCATGATGAAAAATTTACTTTTGATATAACGACACCTACCTATCAAACAATAACAAAAAATGTTTATCAATTACTTTTTTATGTTTTCCAAAATAAATCCCATTTTATTAATTACTTTTCTCACTTTTCAAGACAAATCACGTATAAAATATTTCTTCAATAAACGACCACATTACCAAAGATCACCTAATAGCTTCGGTATGATATGCAGAAATTGAGTATTGATCAAACCATGAACAACAATTGGAAATGTATAGTTGTATACCAGTGTAGTCGTACAAGTGCAACGCTTCTCGTTAATTCCAACAACAAACAGTGGGATTACAAGGTCACTTTCTATATATGTCATGATTATCATATTTGTATAATCATTCCCACGGCACATCCCCTCCGCATATTGGGAACAACTTCCGATGGGTGCCCCCTTTAGGGCGCAGATCTGAACTCTCCTAATACATACTAACCATTATAAAACCGATTAATTTGACTTAGACGACAAATCTAATAAATTATATAAATAATAAAAAATAATGTAATAACAATGGCACCGTTAATCTCATAACGCAATATTTTTAAACTAATATAATATTAAATATATTCCCCTATTATAATTATATTAAAAGATGTAATTATGATGTCATATATATATATATATATTCATAAATTAAGGTAAATAAGTGTTTTTTTTTCCTACCAAGCATGGCTCATTACCTATCATGATGATTGCAATGAATTGACCAAAAAAAAACTGTCCATGATATATTTGCAAGCTGCTGTTTGGGCCGTGGCTTTTTCCACTTCCCACAGATTATTTTAGGTATTGTTTGCCATACAAACGGAAAAAATATTTTTGGATAGAGCTTTCACACACAGCTTCTTTGAAAAAAGACTAAGCTTCAGCAGAAAGCATACTTTGGCTAAGGCCTCGTTTAGGAGGGCTTTTGTGTTGCCTAAGCCACTTTAGAGAAGTTACTTAAGATAGATTCATAAAAAAAAAAATTGATTTTCTTTTGGCTCATGTAAACCTATTTTTGGCTTTTTGAGTTTTTACCAAACACTAGTCTACAACATTCTGGGTTTCTTAGTTCATGTAGCGCTAGAAGCTGCTTGCATAAAAGTTCTCTCAAACGGGGCACTATAGGAGAGCTCAAACACATAGGCTTATGGCTTTTTGAGGTCAACCCTACAAGGACAACCTATAAGATTTGTTTGGTGAAAAATCTGGAGAGCCCGTATTGGCTGTTAATCAGTCATTTGAAGGATTGTCCACTTCAGCCTCTTTGAACAACTTGTCTCGAGTGCTCCAAAGCTCAGCCCTTCCCAAAACGGAGCTTAAGATAATTATTTTAGCTTCTTAGGATTTCCACCGAATGCCAAAGCCAGAAGCGAGAAGCTCCTATGTGAAAACTGTCCCAAACCAAAAGTGCCTATTGGTCTCCATCATGTTAGGCGAATTGGCTGGTGGATGGGAGTTTTGGAGCATTGGGACCATCAGATGACTCCGGATCTCCTGCCCACGCCTACCCACAATACACTATCTCCCGTGAATTGGGAACATCTCCCCTTGCATAATACTATGTAGGGGATGAGATGTTCTCCATGTGCGATGGCTGCGATAAATGTGGGCAGGAGATTCGGACTCAGACCGGATACAGTCAGAGCAAAGTCCATTTGAACAGCCATCACTGCCTTGCATTGGGAATATCTCCCCATGAAATAAAGCACAAAAGTACGGTGATATTCTTGATGAAAGGTTCTAAAGGCTGTTCGAACACTATTCGAACCGGTCTTGCTCTGATTAAAGCCGATCTCATTCGGACTCCCATCAAACTACAATTCAAATCTCCTGCCCATAAGAATCCTACCCACATGACACTGTAACTAGCTGTGAACATTTCCCATGAATGATAACATGCAAATATAGGGGATGCTTTCAATGTACAACTGTAATGAGACATGGGTAGGAGATCCTGAGATCATTCATTAAAACACCTGGAGTTCACATATCCTCCCCACAAGGGGCCGCCCCACAACATCCCATAGCACAATCTCCACTATGTATTGGGAACATCTCCCAATGATGACATCATCAGTTCTGATACTATCATCGGGAGATGTTCCCAATACACATGGGGATATGTTGTGGGACATTGTGGGGCTGCCCCTTGTGGGGAGGAGATGTGATCTCTAAAACCTGCTAACGGAGTTCACATCTGCACCCCACAATGTATTGAGAATATTTCCTGATAATAGTAACAGAATCGATGATGTAATCATCGGGAGGTGTTCCCAATACAACGCTGGAATGTGTTGTGGGGGCGTAGATCTGAACTGCTAACATTCAGATTCGAAGTTTCTTGGGTGTTGGGTGGGAGAGAGTCGTCAGTCGAGAGACCCACTTTCATTTACAGTTAATACCGTTATAACGTCCGTTATAAGCAGTTAAAACGACCGTTAATCAAACCATAGACAAAAATACAGACCCAAAGCACCACGTGGCCAAATCCCGAATGCGTCGCTCTTCTGTAATGGCCCACCGGTTTTGGAGTCTCCTGTCTCCGTAGTTTATGTTTTGTTGAAGTTCCTTCTCTGCTTCGTTCCTTTCCTTTCACTTGTTTCGTCATCTAAACAAACAAACCCTACCAACGATGACTTTCGGCTTCCTTCTTTGTATAAATTGGTTTTATAGCTGAAATCTCCTACACTTCTTCCTCTATCATGTTTCTTCTCCATTCTCGCGTTTTCTTCTTTTTCTCTCCGTTTCCATTTCCTCCACCTCCATCACCTAACCATCCTCCATTACAAACCCACCATGCGTTCTCCTGCAGCTCTTCGTTTCTCTCGTCTAGGGTTTCTACAAACCTCAAAACGATCCTTCACTTCTCGAACGGGAACCCAAGCAATCTTCGCTTCATTGTGTTGTCACCATAGATTTGCTTATAATTTCAATGCAAGAACTTCTATCTATCCTTTATGCATATTCTGGAATCAATGTTCTACCCTCTAGTGTTCCTGCATTTCATGATTTTTTTTTTGTTATTACCATGGTTTATTTAAATTGTTTTGCTTATCTGTAGTTGTGCGCATCGAAGGCCCAGCGACATGGATTTAAATTGCGGCATGATTTGTTTCCAATTGAGGCCATGGATGAGGTATTTTTTTTTCCTGAAAAGCAGAAGGGGAAAAAAAAACCCACCTCCAACTATACATTTGATAGAATGGAAAATAGTTCCTTTTGTTGGCTTCTTCTATTATTGTTTTTTTTTTTCGTGGCAATTTTTCTGTGGTTTTACTGCTTAAGTGTGAAGGGTTTATTGATTGCTTCAACTGATATGTTGGTGCTTCTGAACGTATGTTGATTGGTTATTGTTCTTATTTGTCCCCTTGTTATAGGATTCAGTGGGTATTTCTTCATTTAATGATTGGGATTATGGGGAGAGTGATGGGACTTCTGGGAGGAGTAGCTACATACTATCTTCTAGTGACGGTGAAGATAGTGATGCAGATATTATAATAAATACTACTACCAAGGATGCTGACTTGCCTGGTAGTATCAAGGAGCATATGGACTCGTCTGATGGGCCTCTAACTGTGACTGCTGACAGACTGGGAGTGCTTCGAAAAGGAAGGAAATTGAGGCAAGAAACCATTTTTTTCCCAATTAGATTATGCATCCAACTTCTGAATTTGAAATGAAATGATTTAGATGCTTGATTTGTATGATTGCTTTTGCTATGTAAGATTACTTTGTTCCTGACATGTATTAGTTTAAGAAACTGATTTCAATTTTCCACTAATAATGTTATTTTTTTTACTTATCAAAATATGTTAATTTTTAATGCTTGGGTTGTTTAAGACTTATCTTTTCCTCACAAATCATGTTTAAAGTTCTACTAATGAATCTTGGAAAACTGGTGCATGGGGCAAAGGTGTTAAAATTCTGAAGTAATGTAGCTTTTGTCTAGCATCTTTAATTATGGGTATGTTATTATGTTTTTCGATTGTGTTTTCTAGATATTTTTCCACTTTAAGTTTTATTGAAGAATTCTGACTTAGACAAGCTTAAGGACAATTTGAATAAGCTAGATTTGGTCCAAATGTACCTATTGAAATTTTAAAGTATATTTAGGAATGCAGAACTGAACTCAACAAAGCCTTGTGAATGTTTGGGCCACATATATGAATCCTATTTCATCATGTCACTCTTCAGCCATATCTTTCTATGCAAGTTTCCAAACCGTTTGAATTGATTTCCTTTGATCTTGTTGCCTATTGAGGCAACCCCAATCTTCCCACCATCGTAAGTGTGCTTTTTCTAATTCCATGCCCTGTAGTCTTGCCACTCAGCCATCCCATCATTTTTTTGGTAATAAATAATAAAGAAAAATTTATTGATAAAGGAAGAGTGCATCAATCAGGGTAATGGGGAATCACCGCAACTTGGATTCTAAACAACTCAAAAAGAGTATACAACAAAGAGGAAAGAGAAGTACAAAATTAACTGCTCGAGATCCACCTCAAGAAACGACCAAAAACCAACAATAAGGACCTCCTTTGAAATCCCTTCAAAATCTGGAACTATAAGCACCCAAACTTATCTTCTTTTCTCACAAAAAAGAGTGAGTTCATATCTTCTTCAAAGTATGAAGTCAGGGATCCCTTTGATTCTTTCATTCCACCCTTTCCAACAAATGAAAAGGACACACACAACTCCAAACCAACTTTGCCTTAAGAATTCCTTTCAATGTAGGCCCATAGTTTTCAAGGCACCAAGGCGAGGCGCCTTGTCGCCTAGTTGCCTAGGCGATGGATTTTTTTTAAGTAAAGATGGCTATCACTTGAAACCTCAAAAAGCTAAAACCAAGAAAACTTGCTTTCAAAGCAACACAACCCTCAGGTGGCAAAAACTGAGAAATGCCCACCCAACAAGAAATCTCCTCAAACAGGAGACTCAAGACTAACCCTAGACATATCAAGGCCTTTCAGCACTCATCGAGTAGTGTAGTTCTAGCCCCCGGAATGCTCTTCTTCTTTATTCTTTCCCTCCTAAAACCAATAAGCCCAACTTTTCACCCATTTGGAGACCAGTTTCCACCATCTTTCCCACATCCACCTTTTGCTTAATTTTTTGAACTCTATCCAATTTCATTCCTTCCTCTTCCTCTTCCTCTTCACCTTCATCAACTTCTACTTCTGAAACATCATCTTCTCCTGACAAGACCCCTTCTTTTGCCAAAATCTCTTTGGTGAACTCTTATGATTTATCTCCTTTGTTACCACCTACTGGAAAACAATTCGATATATTCTCAGCAATAATGTCACTGATCAAACAAATTTTCTGGACAATGCTTTTTCTCTAAAGCAAAGGTTTTTTCTCCCTTTTTAAGGACAATGCCTTTTCTCTAAAGCAAAGGTTTTCAAAGGACATAGATTCCTATTATGCAGATTGACAATTTTCTGGACTACTATACCAGAAAAAAACCAAGGGTATGATTTGTTAGCTGAACTTTTTGCTACAGCTTCTCAGCTTCCATCCTTCATAGGGTCTGGGATACTTTTTCTCACTTTGCTTTGATATTTGGAGGAACTGGGAAGCTAGCAAAAAGTTCAGCTAACAAACAAAGGGCTATCTCAGTTTGGGCACCTCCTGAAGAAGACTTCATCAAGCTCAATTTTGATGGTACAGCTTAGGGAACCCAGGCTGTCTGGAATTGGAGGAGTATTCAGAAATAAAGATGGCCAAATTATTGCTTTATATTCGGGCCAACAGGGATTGGGGAGTCCATAAGTGCGGAGTTTCAAGCAGTGGTACAAAGGTTATTGATTGCCAGAGAATTGCAGATTGAAAGATTACTCATTGAGGGGGACTCTAAACTGGTAGTTGGGTAGTTGAAGGAGCCAGATACAGTAATATGGAGTTATGGACTTATAGGGATTAGGGAGGCCATTAAGAGATTCAAGTGGCTGACTATAAACATGATTGCAAGGATCCAATGGGAAAGGAGATCTGCAAATGTGATGGCAGATTATTTAGCTAAGCAAGGGGTTATTAGGGATCTTTTGTATTGGGCTCAGGTGTAACCTTTTCTTTTTTGCTTTGGAGGCTGCAATTCACACCTCCAGTTGGGAACTTTTGATTGTAATTTATTTGCTTTGCTTTATCTAATGAAAACTTAATTACTTATAAAAAAGGGATTGAAGTCTCTCACAAAGAACAACCTCAAAACATATTATAGATACAAGAGAACATATTCCTTGTCCAACACACACACACACACCCCAAAAAAAAATCCCAAGAGAAGGTGGCATTACTTTCAAAGCAGGAAACTTGCCCAGAGAGACCTATGTACATGCCCTAGAATTCAAGGCACAATCCCAACATTTTGATTGTATGCACGATTTAGCTTTTGTTGTAATTTCTTTGTTTGTGGAAACTTAACCTAATTCATTACATGCCTATACTGGCAGGATTCAACCTGGAGTTTTCATGAACATGGCGTTGATAGCTTTCTTGGTGGTTCTTCTTTTACTTGTAGATTGGTGTTCATGGCGGATAGTCAGACTACCATTAGAATCCTTTTTCCTGACACGCCCATTTATTATATCAGCAGTTTTAACATCAGTTGCAGGATATTTATGTATCCCAGTACTTTATAGCTTGAAGGTACATCAAATCTTAAGGAAAGAAGGACCTGTTGCACATTCTTCAAAAAAGCGAACCCCTACAATGGGTGGGCTGTTTTTTGTTCCAATTGGTATAATTGTGGCAAGAGCCATAGCTGGTTTCTCGTCTGTTGAAGTTGCTGGAGCTGCAACAGCAACTCTAGCTTTTGCGGCAATTGGACTGCTTGATGACATTTTAAGTTTCATCAAGAATCATAATTATGGTTTACCTGCATGGGTAAAAGTTTTCTTAGAGGTAAAAATGTTTCTTATTTGTACATTTTCATATATTTGTATGCTTGTATTTGGTTTTCCAAGAGAAGATCCATTCTAACTTTGTGATGTTTCTAAACTGGTAACTAGCAGGTAGCTGTTGGGGTATGGTTCTCATTATGGTTGGGCTCAGCAAACATATCATCACCCTACAGCATGTATACCTTCTTGAAACTAATCTGATCGACGTTTATTTGATGGTAACGCACATGGCTATAGAAATATTGCTGATATAATTAATTCATGTTGTTTATTGCTATTCATTTTATTTATTGCTATTTTTTTTCAAAAAAAAATGTCAAAGGATAATAGCTTCTTACCAATGCAATGTTGTCAGACTGGGACAGGTTTGTAGAAATGTATACTTGGTCAAACTTACCTCATTTACATATGCTAATATGTGTTATACCCTCTATTATTTTGTTAACCTTATTTTGATGCAAAATAGCTTTAAAGATTAAAACCACTTTCATTTTTTTTTTTCACGTTTTAGTTAGTTGAATGATTGAATCAAATGGTTGAACCGTTCAACCTATGTCCTAGTCACCACAATGGTTCTCTGTCCAGTCTTAGTCTAACAACATGTTACCAAAGATTAATAAACACTATTTATATTACCAATAAAGAAAAATAAAAATGCTACCATGTGATTTATATTCAAATTCGGGAAAAGTGGAGCAGGTGTCTAGTGGGCCAGGTGGGTAGGCCCAGGATCACAAGTCCACCTTGGGGTTTAAGGTGAATGGTTTGGAAGTGAGCCAGGTTGTTCTTAACAAGAAGAAGGATACTGACACTTCAGGCCCAATCTGTTGAACATCCCAACAAGTTTGATGGATTGTAGGTTATTGGAGAAGAATACTTAGAAGGGGAGCTTTCTCCTCTAATACCTTTGTACCCCCTTGGAATCTCAGTGACAACTCTGGTGATGCCTCACGATAACAAGCAAAAATCTATGCCCTCCTACCTTGTTGTTGGACTTTTCTGAAGACGATAGCGAAATCTCCAGTGATTCACATTTGGGGACCTACACGTCAGAAATGTAAGTTGCAGGCTCTAAGGCCAATCTGAGGTTAGTGGATTTATTCGTTGAAGTACCTTCCTCCAGGAAAAGTAAGTTGTCTATAGATGCTGGTTCTTCTCATTTGGTGGAAGAGAAGTCAGTGCCAACCTTGCCCCCAAGCCCTTCTCTAGTTCTCCAATTGTAGATCCAAGGTAACCCTTCTTCCTCTCCCCTGGACGCAGTTTTTTTGTTTACTCTTGTTTCCCTTGCATCTACCCTTTGTGCCTGTTTCTTCCCTTTGTGCAGAGACAGGTTTGCAATCCCACCATTTCTCTACTTCCTTAGAGGTTTTGAAGAATCGGATCTTAGATGTGGAAGGGGCAAAGCAGTCTAGATAGAGAGGAGGGGGAGTGACACAGACAACATGGCGGGGTAGCTGGGGATATCAATGCTGATAAAAAATGGTTGGGGATATCAACGGTTGTCAACAAGGGTCAAATTTGGGGCATAGGGTAGTTCCTCTCTAAAAGTGGAGAAGTTCTTAATCCAAGGTCTGTAAGGGAATTAAAGAAGCTTTGATGTGATTTACAAGGGAAGGACACTACAGTAGAGGAGGGAAGTAAGAGAAGATTAGCTGGGAGGGTCTCAAGTGGTACTCAATGAAGATAGTGTCTTTGGAACGTGAGAGGGTTGTCAATTGTCAAAACCTATCCCTTGACATGCAAATATTCAAAAAACCAAAAAGGAGGAGATTAATAGAAGCTGATTAGGGTTGTTTGGGGTATCAGAAACAAGAGGTGGGTGGCTATTCCATCAAATGTTGGGTGGTCTTCTTATTATTTGGGATGAAAGTGAGTTAATGGGGGTTGAAAATTGACAGGGACAATTCTCTTCTTTGATTCTTTTCACCAATAAAGTCTATGGATTCACGTGGATCTTTACAGGGGTTTATGGTTCAAATTGTCCTCGGCAAAGGGAGAGCTTGTTGGAGGAATTAGAAGCAGTTGGTTCTTATGGGCAGCTTCCTTGGTGTGTGGGTGGTGGACTCCAATGTCACCTGATTCCCTCATGAGAAGTTTAACGGGGGCAGAATCACTTGTAGCATGAGATAAGTCACCCGATTCCCTCAGGAGAAGTCTGTCTAATGGGGCAGAATCACATTTAGCATGAGAAAAATTTTCAAACTTCATTCAGACTTGTGCTCTCATTGATATGTCGCTTTACAATGCAAAGTTTACCTGGTCCAATATGCAGCTGGAAGCTATCTCTAGTAGTTTGGATAGGTTTTTCAGTAGTCTGGGAAGAGCACTTCCCAAAGGTTTCTCAAGGGACACCCCCCCTTTGTACCTCAAATCATTGGCTGGTAGTGGTGGACACAGAAAGATTGCAGAGAGGAAAACACCATCCAGATTTGAAAGGCATTGTATCCTCTATCCCGAGTTCAAGACTAAATGGTGGAGCAAACAAAAATTCAAGCTGTTTGTAGAAGAAAAAACCAAAATCCTTGAAGGTATTACCAGGTTGGATTCAAAAGAGCTGAATGAGCAGTTGGATAGGAGGATCTAGAGAGAGATTTTAGGGGCAGAATGGGAGATGTGCATCCCATATTTATCATTAAAAAATAGTGGGGTCCCAAAACACCTATAAACAAGTGTATCGGGACCCAAAAGATACGATACGATAAGCCCGATACGGGGCGTATCGTATTGATTTTTTGAACCTTGAAGATGTGAGTTTGTAGCAAGGAAATTTTCTTGAGGCAAAGATCTAGGGTTCAGTGGATCAAAGAAGGGGAAAATAACACGAGTTTCTTTCATAAATATGCAAATGGGAGATGGAGACTCAATTCCATCACAAAGATTTTAGTGAATGACCAAGAGGTGGAAGACCTAGTGCTTATTAACAAAGAGATAGTAGATTGTTTTGAGAACCTATGAAAGAGAGGAGGTGGAGACCATATACGGGAATGAACTGGTAAAAAACACTCATGTAGCCAAAAAGGAGCTGGCTGGAGAGGAGATTTATAGAAGATTAAAGAAGCGGTGTCCTCCATGAGTGCCTTGGGGCCAGATGGATTTTCTATGGGATTCTACCATGGATTTTACGATATTATCAGAAATAACTTGTTAGAAGTAGAAGATTTCCACTGATCAGCCAAGATAAATAAGAGAAACAATGCAACTTTTATCAAGCTCATCCCAAAGAAAGAGAGTACTTTAGACTTTGGAGGTTAAAGATTTTAGACCTATCAACCTTCTTGGAGGCAGCCTCTATAAAATTGTGTCTATAGTGCTTGCCAATCATGTTCAAGTAGTATTTAGTGAGGTTGTTGCTAACTCTCAAAGTGCCTTCATAAAAGGAAGACAGATTGCTGATTGTGTCCTTGTAGCAAATGAAGTAGTGGAAGAGAAAAAAAAGTGGTTGAGAGCAATGTTTTAAAACGTGGAGGCGTGATGCGAGGGATTCCACTACCTAGAGGTGTGAAGCGTAGTTCAGAATGCAAGAAGCGTAAGCCCCCCAAACACAAGGAAGCGTAAGCCTCCTTAAGAGGAGGGGGTTAGAAGGAAAGGGGGAGGGGGGAGGATGAAGAGGAAGGGGGGATCTCATTTTTTCTTTATTTATAATAAAAATCTTTTATATTAAGAAGAATAAAGATGCATAACATTAGTTTTCGCCCCCAGACGAAGGGGCAGGGGCAAACCACCTTCTTTCTCTTTWTCTTTTCTTCCCTTCCCTTTCCTTTTCTTTTCTTTCCCTTTCTCTTTTTTTTTTCTTCTCTTTCTTTTTCTTTACCTTCCCTTTCTTTTCTTTTCCTTTCCTTTTTTTCCTTTTTTCTTTTTTTTTGTCTTTTTTTTTTATAAGATGTGCATGAGGTGTATGCCTCTAGCACACCTCATGAAAAAGCATATGAGGCGTACGCCTCTAGCATATGCCTCAGGGTGTTTTGGTAGTGCCTCGCTTGGAGGTGCACCTCCAGGTGCATGCCTCTCATGCCTTTTAAAACATTGGTACTTGGGGGGTGTGGTTTTCAAGCTTGATCTAGAGAAGGCTTATGATAGGGTGGATTTAGGGTGCTTCTGGAATATTTTGAAGCTAAAGGGTTTTGGTGATGAATGGATCAAATGGATGCAAGATGCATTCACTTTGCTTGGTTCTCATTCCTCATTTGCTCTCTAAGGAGTTTTTCAAAGCTTCAAGAGGAACCAAACAAGGCTGCCCTTTCTCTCTTTTGCTGTCATGATGGTTGCTGACATCCTAGATGCTTTTGTAGAGAAAGCAATCAACAATTTCGTCCAAGGCTTCAAAGTGGGAAAAAAGGAACTTCATGTGTTCCATCTGCAGTTTGTAGATGACAATCATTTTCCTTGAGGTTAAAAAGGAGAATCTTGAAAATTTGAGAGGAATATTGCAATGCTATGAGGCAGTTACGAGGCTTAAATGCAACATGGCTAAGAGCAGTATTATGAGTATCAATTTTTCTCTTGTGGCCTTGGAGGAGGAATTAATAGATACTCTAGATTGTAAAATTGAAATTGACCAATAAAGTTCTTGGGATTGCCCTTGGGAGGTGTTGAAGTTTGACCTGCCCTAGAATTTTGTCTTGTTCGTTGACTGTAAAGTAAACAGCAAGAAGTAGGAGAGGAAAGAAGAAGAGAGAAAAGAGAGGAAAGAGAGAAAGG